TATAAGTGTCAGTAGTACTTATTAAACTTGTCCTTAATTTAGCATTAATAAATTAATTATCAAATACATTGTTCACTACTGACACATTTATAAGTACATTACATTAACGTACATGCATTTTCTCATTTTTTATTGTGTCAGAATGTATATCGACTTGTTTTGCTCTTCCTTTCAGTAAATAAATAATTTTTTAAGATAATCTTTTATTCTCGTCTTTTCGATAAGCTCGCGGCTCCTACGTAAGGTTATCACGCCCCCGGGGGCTCCTTACAGTTTGAGAATCACTGTCCTAGTTTAAGCTAAAATATGTCGCAGCTTCTATTAAAGAATGATCTGAATGTGTACTATTTTCGAGGTATTTGTTTTGTTGAATAGTAAATTTTATTAATCCCGATATATATTTTTCTTTTTTAATTGAGTGGTCGTAGTGTGGGTGTGGGGGGGGTGAACTCATAGACCGTTTTGTTTTCGTCGAGTCGTGGGCTTGAGTCCCGGAGCCCCTAAAGACCCACTTGTGGGGTGCTAATTCAGTTGACACCCTTCTGACTTGACCGTTGCTCAGGATTATGAGAACCAATAGCTCTGATGTAACTTCGGAATGCGATATTAATAATTAATCTAAAATAGTTTGCCCATCACTGGTCATCAATTTTGGTTTTTGGAGAAATAAGTTGCTTTCTATTATTGCAATTTTTTCGTCAGACAGGTGGCATTAGAAACAGCAACAACAGTAATTGTTTTAAGAGGACATGGTATATATAGATTTATATAAAAATTTTCGATTTAATAGTTTTTACATTTTTTTGCTTGTGACCAATGTATAAAGATTTCATAAAATATATTTTGTTCCCAAAATGCTACACAATACTAACCATTTAATTTTCTAAAGAAAAGTTTTAAAATTTATGAAGAAATTTTAAAATACTACTCCGCCTAAAATAGTTGAAGTGCGCACATGAAATTTGATTTACAAGTACGTCAAACTATGCACAACAATAATTGATATAGGTTTTCTACTAACATGACTAGAATTTGTAAAATGTTTTTTTTTCTGAATGCTTATTGAAAATTCCTTAAGAAATGTGCAAAATTTAAATTCAACTATTTTTTAAAAAATAAGTATTGTTTTGATGCAAAAATGTATACCAATATTTGTTATATGTACTAATAGCAATATGTCAAAAAAATGTCACAGCAATTGACTCAAAAGAAAAAAATGCCTTAGCATTTTAAATAAATATAAAAGAGTTATTTTTTTCTTTCTGAGATAAATCCATTTAAAGTTTTTATTTGCCATTAGGAAGTGAATAAAAACTGTCATAAAAGCTATCATAACTCAAAATTTTTATTTAACCCAGAGCTTTTAAATTTTGTGAGGTTATAGAAAATTATATAAAGAATAATTTAGGCTAAAAAAATAACTTGAATATTTGAATGATTTTCGCCAATTGAATCGCACTGTATTCCCCTTAGATTTATTATGTAAGGCAAGCGCTCTGACGAAATTCCTAGACGTGAAGCGAAATAGTACTTTTAAAACTATGTCTGTTACAGTGGATTTACGGGAAGAACCACCAATTAAATTTATAGCAATCTTTTCCAGTTTCATCGGTTTATAGTTGAAAGAGTGGTTGTATTAAAACTCATTTCAAATTTATACATTGCGCAAACAGCTGTTTTATATAAGCAATAAATACTGAAATTTATAAAGAGTTGCCAAGTGAAACACAAAACCATTTTCTAGAGTACTCGAAAAAAAAAATGACTGGAAAAAAGTGTAGAAAATTTTTATTTATTTGAAAATAGGGAAATCTTTTCATGTTAAGGGATTTTATTTTGTGTTAAGAGGGAAAAGACGCATGGAAATACATAGTAATTTGTCGGGACCGTTCTATTATTTTGAGTTAACCAACATTTCGCCTTAAATGCTTTCGCTTTAAATGTATTTCACAGTATTGAAAAATTGTACTCATGCAAAAAATCTTACTTTTTTCTGTGATATAATTTGTTTTTACAGTTGTTAGTAAAAGATCAACTTTTTTTATTATCTTGGTTGAAAAAATATTTCTCAATATTTTAAAAACTAATTTTTCTAAAAATTCTTTTCGTTGTATTTTTATAGTTTTTGCAACACACTTAAAAAAATAATAGTTAAATAATTATGAAAGTCATATTTTAGAAAACTGTCTCCGAACTCAGTTGCATACTTTAAATTACGAAATCAGAGGACAAATGTTAAAATAAAGTGTTCTCTATATAAACAATAAGAGAATTTTTCTATAATACTCATTGAGATAGGGGAAAATAAATCCAGAATTTATATGCCGATTGAAAAATACTTAAAGTATCTAAGGGAAGAAACTTCAAAAGCACGCGGTTTGTCATGAGAATGCGTAAAATGCCTTAGATATAACGAAACATTAGAAAATATATAGATTATATGTGGCTCAATTTAATTTAAGAATACACATCAAAATAAGGGAAAAAATATTTGATTTCAATTTTTTTTTCATGAGTTGTTTTTAGTGATAAGTACATTTTACACAACAAAGGAATATCATTTCATTAATATTATCAAAAACTATTATAAATCCCTTTGGCATTAGTATAATCCCTATAAATTAATTAATATTCATTATTACAGTCTCTTCCAGGACTATTTCGATACTTTTTTTCTCTATTAATACATATTCAATTCATACTAAGCAGATGAGATGTCATGTGTTGTCACTAATAATTACAGTCGGACCTCTATACAACGAAGTCGTTAAATCCCGAAAAAAAGTTCGTTATACGGAAAATTCGTTATATAGAGGTTCATCTTTTAATTTTCTTCATAAACCATAAAAAAACAAATTTTGAATTCATAAACACTATACATTAAAAAATGTAATTATTAACACCTTTTTGTAAGTTACTATCTATTTATTTTCTATATCTTACCTATCAAAAAAAGACAAGGAACTACAAGGAAAGTTTCTTGACGCCTTTATCTACTTCCTGAAGAGAATTTTTTTTTCTTTGGAGCTCAAGCACGTATGTTTTGACATTTTTGAGCTGCAAGAAATGAAGTTACCAGTGCTACTGATTAACACTGGTATTGAACGGAGACTAGCTCAAGGATACGAGGACACGAGACAACTCCACTGAGGGTGAAATGGGATTCCAAAGATGTTTCTAGTGAACTGAACAATGGGGGTTAAATGTTGCACCTTTTGGATGAAATGCTCCAAATTCTTCTGCACTCGGCGAGTTGGGCACATAATGAAACCGGTTCAAGATTTATGACACCATAAAATGTGTTAAAAGGGAGAACAACTTGAAATACTTTAAAAATAGGCAGACGAAAAATTGAATCACGAGAGAAAAAGTTCGTTATATAGAAAATGTACTTTGCTATTGAGGGGTTATTTTACAAAGAAAATCGTGAACTGTTCTTGGTTCCAGAAAAAAGCTCGCTATATCGAAAAATTCGCAATATGCAGGTTCGTTATATGGAGGTTCGACAGTATTTAATAATACTTTTAGTTGATGCATGTTGTTTTTCATAGAATACTTTTTTTAATTCCAGTTTATTTCCTAAAACAATAATTATAAGCATTTTAAATGGGAAGCGATGTCTTTTATTTTCAGCATAAGAAATTCATAAGCCACGATTCCTAATTAACGGAAATTAAAAGTTAAGATCAAAGCTATCTCTAAATGAACAATTTTTTAATACATACAGTCAGTCACAAAAGTCAACATACACCTTTTAAATTACAAGAATTTAAGAAATTATTTTATAAAAACTAAATTTATGGCAACAATACGTTTTTAAAATTAAATAATATTTTATAAGAAAAAAATAAGTGAGATGAAAACCAAATTGCGTCCTTAGAATACTCAGGGGAAGAAAAGTACAATTCACGTCAAAAGATTCTACATTGTAGAAATGCTGTTACATAACACACAATTTCCCTCTTGCATGTCATTAACCCTGAACCGTTGAGTTTTCGTTATCCGGATCTTCCCCCAGCGTTGGGTATATTTGGTAATTCTCATTTAACCCTAACCAAATAATCAAAATCACTTGACATCTCACTTTTCTTTCACCTTTGAAATCCTGTAACTGACGCCATTTCACATCTAAAGAGAAACTACTAATTATCCTAAAATATTGGATTCGAATATCGATCATTCTATCTAGTGCTGTCATCTATTAGTGAAAAAAATGACTACTTTAGAACGCGATACACGCGTTCGTAACATTTGAAACAGCACAAAGTCCAGATGAACACGTGCTGTTGATAGATAGATTGAGATGAACTAGCTTAGAGTGCTTTCGTAATAATGGCCCAAGGGTTAACGAAAAGAGAATCTTAATTATTTGTATAGTAATTTGAGTCACTAGTTAAAACGATTTGAATAAAAAAAAAAGGAAATTTATTTTGACGTTCGAAATTCGATAATTAAGTTAATGAGAAATAAAGAATAGACTGATATTGTAAAAATTGTTGGAAAAAGCCAGTCTACTTCCTGTCCAAACTATTATGAAACAACTGAATATATTTTCGACAAATCTCGTAGTAAACAGCCAAAGATTTTGAAAGATGGAGATGTTTGAGTAGAATGAGGTTAAATTTGAAATTATCCGTTCGTGGAATATGTTGCTGCAACAGCTAAAAAAAGTCTTTGAGGGTAAAAAGAATCCTTCTTACTTGAAAGAGATGACACAAGCCCTCTTATTAAGGTGTATGATGTCGTCGCTATTTCTTTTCAATTATGAACTGAAAAACTCTTTTCAAGTATTAAATTGCATTTTTTTTAAATGCTCTTTTATTATTTATAAAGCTTTGTTTCACTTTCATTACTTTTAATTTGTTTAACTTTGAGTCTTTATGTTCTTAATTATCATCTATGTTTTGGAATAGTTTGTATTTTGGTGAATGGCAACGTTTTGTATGAGAGATTTGGTGAGATAGCAAGTAAATAAGTGGAATCAGATTAACATGTTCATTGTTTTGTCTTGTATGGTGGCTATGACCCTCGGTTTGTAACCAAGTGGGTTCGGGTTCGAATCCCGAGTAAGACTTGTTTGTATCTTCTTCGGGAAAGAAGTCGGTCTTTCGCCTGAAATGGATTCCCGTCTCGAAAGGAAAAGCAGCGCAACTCTTCTTGTTATATTCTGGGATCATCGTTTGTAATAAATCTGTATTCTTCTGTGGTTGTGTTATATGTTTCTGTTCATCTATCTCACGTCTTTCGTATGTATCCCAGTAATAAACACACGACAACAACATTGTTTTGTCCTTAGAAAACAGCAACATATATAAATATTTTAAGAGAAGAAACACCGTCCAGCCAGTATGGTGGATATGTAACTCGGCTTGTAAACGTACGGGCTCGGGTTCGAATCCCGAGTAAGGCATGGTTGTATTTTCTTCGAGAAAAGTAGTCGGACTTTCACCTGTAATGGATTCCCGTCTTGAATGGAAAGCAGCGCATCTCTTCTTGTAATATACTGTGATCATCATCTGTAATAAATGTCTTTATTGTTTGTTTCTGTTCTTCCACTCGTATTTAATATGTATCCCAGGATAAAAACGAACGACAACAACAAGAGAAAAAACAACTCATTGATACGAGATTCAGGTAGTCTCAACAAAAGATCTTTTAGCAAAGTTCTACGAAGAAATTCACTCATATCCAGAATAAATAGAAGGAAAAAGACTAAAAAATAATGTACCCATAAATAAATATTTTTTTGAAGACTGTCTTTTTAGCCAATGAGATAAAATATAATATAATTTAGAAGAACAATGGATGCGGTAATATTTAACTGTGCAGAAACTGAACTTAAATTCGTAAATGTTCCCAAGTCGAAACATGGTGATTAAAGAGTCAAAGTTTGCGGATCTATGGCAGCAACTGGTTTCGCGAAATTAACCACCATTGAAAAGAAGGGTGGATCGTTTCAAATACTCTTGAACAAATTGTAAAATAACGGGAAGCATCTGTTCACAGCTTGAAGCCATACATCTTTTAGCAAGTTCAAAACGCGCAGCAAAGACTGTCAAGGACTGACTTCTTTACGAAGTACACGCACCTGCACAGCTCCAAACTCTTTCTTAAACAGCAGATTTGTATCTTATGGAACATTCAAGGAACGAATTTGATAGAAAAGTTATAAAATAATTTTTTTAAGATAAAAAATTCCTTAGAAAATGCATTGTTGCAAGTTTAGTTTGAAATTATACCAGATTCCCCTCAAAGTTTTATTGCTTCAATGATAAGTTGTCTTTGATTCACAAAGCCGAGTTATACGTTATTAAGTTATTTCCTGTTGTATTCATTAGACTATTTTTCTTTTCATCTTCTTTCATGTATTGATTCCTACTTTTGAGTTACGTGATTTTCTTTGCATGAATTATTATTTGTTTACCAATTCAAGAAATACTTTGTTTATAGAAATATGTATTTTATTATGAACAGCCTGTATTTTATTATGAAAATATTACAGCTTTTTAGGTTTTACTTTTATATAAGGATGTCATTTTTGAGGATGTATGTTGACTTTTATGACTGAATACACCCTTAAAAGCTACGTTTTCAAATATGTTTTTGGCCCCTAAGAGCTTTAGATTTCAATTCATTAATAGTGTCAATTAAGAAAGTTGAAATTAAGTACAGGGGCATTGAAGACTATTTGTTATTAGAAGAATTATATATATATATATATATATATATATATATATATATATATATATATATATATATAAATGACATATAATAAACATCAATGCGATATTTATTCAAATTTGTTTTATTCGATTAAAGTGTGTAAAATTACTCGGATTATCAAGAAAATGAGCAACCATAACTAGAAACAAGTAATATAAAAAAATTTTTTAAGTCAATTCCTACTTAGATCAACAAAGAAAAATTTTATTTTAGCTACTTTTTATTAAATAGTTATAATTAATATAAATATGTATATACATATGACAGAATCACAGCATTAAGTGGTAATTCATTTTTATTTATTATCATTAAAGTATCATATTGTCATCCAAAACAATCGTGTCTATAAAATTTCAGTTCAACTGAATGCTTTAAAACGTGAGAAAAAAAAACCTTTCCAAGTTTTGACAGAAGTAGCCAAAAGGGTCGCTAAGTCACCAAAAATGATGCCAACGTGGCTGCATTTGCAATTCTTTAAATAATTAGATTTAATCAATTAGTTTTTATTAATTATAATTAAATTATTGTATTGTCATCCAAAATAAAATCATGTATATTAAATTTCAGTTCAATTGAGCGCATTAAAATGTATTTTATTAACGATTGAAAATTCCACCAAGATAAATAAATAAATAAATAGAGTGTGAGTTCATAGTAGGAATTGAAAAAGGGGGTCAAAATTAATAGAAACAAAAAAGAAGAGGCCTCAATATTATGTTTAATCCTGATTTGATGCATCAAGAATAATGCAGATTAAAATCATTGTAAAAATATTACTAATTTTTACTAGTGTTATTTGTAAATTTATAACTGTTTATTGATGTATCTATGTTACTCCAAGAGCCCCATGTCCGACCATTCCGTGTACTGGTCGAATGTGGTGACCAAAAAGTCCGGTGGTCAGATATAACTTACGTATTTTTATAATTTTGGTCGGCCATTTTGTGAGCTGGATGGAGATCCTTTGCAAAATTAGATATATTGATCATCTCTTGAGCAATTTAAAATGCCATAGAAATTAATATTGTTATAATAAATCATTATACTATGTCATAAGTCAATAAAAATAGACGTTATACTACGTCTTCTTTCTCTCAACATATGTTGGCCAGTATAACAAAACAGGCCAATATACGAAAAAGTCGAACTTTGGGCTGTAGCAGTAACATATATACAATTTCTTTGTTTTCGACTTACATTATAACGTGCAGTAAGACCATCTCAATTTTCGTGAATTATGAAGTATCCGTAGTAAAAAACAATGGGTTAAATCCATAGTCACATGAGATCCACAATCAAGTGTTTCCAGTCAATCATTTCATAAATTCATGCGACGTCTTAGTTAAATAATAAATACGATCATGTGTTTTACGATAATCAGTTCATACGTTTTGCTTTTGTCAACTTTTGCTTTTTGAAGAAACTTTCTGTTAAAAAGTATATATTTGTCAACAATAATAAAGAAAATGCACTTAATTTAAAAGTTTACTTATAATGTAATTTTTTTTAATCTTGACTATTTGGAGAATCTTAAGACTTGAAAATTTTTATCCGGTTATCAAAATTGAAATTTTACAATACAATAACATGTCTAATGTCAGTTTTAAATTCAATGGAAAATATGTGATAGCTTTTATCATGTGACCACCATGGTTTTAGCCCAATGAAGTATTTACTAGTAGCCATACGGCAGAATTTTTAATTTATTCAGAAAATTGGATACTACATATATATAAAAGGAAATTTTCAGTACTAAATGAAAATATTGCTAAATGTAATATTTTGCAATTGTAATGAAAGGCTTAAAAATAAATGTGAGTTAAGTATACATCAAAGTAAATATGTTTTTAAAAATTTGCACTTTGATATCTCTAAAGCAATTTTTTTTCTGATTAATTTTTTGCCTTACTTTCTTTTTTTGATGAAATCAATTTTGAGAATAAACATATATTTTTTCTATGTTGCAAAAAATATTCCTTTTATTTTTCAATATTTTAGCTGAAATAACTTAAAAAATGCCACTTAAGTTTATAACCATTAACATCCATGTATATTGTCATAATCTTCTGTAACAAGTGTGTGTGTGAATCGATAACTGAAACTGACTGAAATGCGATTAAATAATGCTTTTACAATGGAGTCAAGTTCAGTGATCATTCGGTGGACAAATCAATACACGAAACTTAGAATCATTCTGAGATATTTGGAAGCGCAAACAATGTTGTTTTGATTAAATGACCTGTAAATACTGTATACATTGTGTGAAAAGTAATTAAATACAAAATGTTCTATGTATTCATGTATTTTCTTTCTTTCTTTAACTACACAGTCAATAGTTTTTAGAAGACATACATAAAACAAGGAAATAGATAGTTTTTATAGTCATACATTTTAAAAAGATACGATATTCGAAATAGAACAGTTCTATTTTTTTTTATTGATTTTCATAAAAAAAAAGAATATTTCATACACTTTTTTTTGCGTACTTAGTGTTGAAATTATACGTTTTCAATTATATCAGCGAACTGACACCAAGGATGTATCATAAACACGACTAGCTACATTGTACAGAAAAGCACGCGCGTCAAATTAAACTTAAGAAAACAACATTTTATAGCCAGAGCAAAACAAATTTTTTCTGAAGCTGGCAAACACCTCATTACGATAAAAGTATAGTGCGATTTTCTAAGCTTTATTCACAATTTTATGCAGCTATTCACCAAAATATGAGTCTTAACAACACGGATAAGTTTAAACACTTCCCAGTTTTGCCGGAAGGCCACTCGGGCACTTGAAATGGCCCTTCCCTGATTTTTCCGAGCGGCACTCGGGCAACACTTTTTTTTACTCTAATCCTCTGATTTGCCCGTGTTTTTTGCTCGTTTAGTGTGCAATGTTTCAAACAGGTGTCTCTAATAGTCGAGTAAAGTTAGGATTACAAAAAATATCTAAATTCGTTTCAATGTTAGGTTTTACTGCATTCTTTTAGACTAAATAAGGCGGGAATTTTCTTTTTACTAGATTGGTGTACCGCAAGCTACGAACGCTATTTTAAATTTGGAGCTTAAAGTAGAAGAAAATGAGTGTTTATGAGAGGATCATATAACAGAAAATAATTCTGATATTGACTCAGATAGTGATTCTGAAATTTCTGTAAATGATTCTGGTAGTATAATGAAAGTTTATTATTGGATTTCTCTTGTGGTCTAGATAGAATGGATCAGAACCTCACAAATTAAATAATAACGGGGAAAAAGAAGAGACAAGAAATAATACAAAGAAATATTCCTCCATCTTTTAGGTACATCAATGTGGAATGCTTTTGTTTTGTATCAGAAACTGGGAGGAAAA